TTTTCACATATGCACGGTTAGGGCCCAGGAGAGCTTCTGTCTTCTGTACCTGTAACCCGCTGTAAGGGCCACTGAATGTCCTCACCCTTCCTGACAACCTTAAATCTGGGGTTACTTTAGCTTTGTTACTTTATTCCATTTCCTGTTCTTGCCAGGCTTTTGGGTGCTAGCAAAGTTATCTGACTCTGCCTTAACTCCTCTGCCAACTTCAGACATTCTACTTTGTTCAAACCCTGCACAGTGCCTGGCAGTGGCTTTCTCCCTTCCTGAGTCCACCACTGTAGGGTTTTCAGACCATTCCTACCCTTTTCAAGCCTCCCTCTTTTTTTCCTTCCCCTTCCCTCTCTCTTTACCTTGCTTTTGGTGGATGACTTTACTACCTCGCTAAAATGGGGGATTGTTTAAAAATCACTAGGAATTCAGTCTTGAGAAGAATGCTTACTTGAATATAAAAAAACCCACCCCAATCACACGCACGCACGCACGCACGCACGCGTGCACACACACAAGCCAAGTCCAGTAGGTTACTGAGGTTATGGTTAGCTAGTCCTATGCAAGTCAAATAGCAATTTCCTCACATGACTTTCGGAGTTGTATTATAAAAGCTATAGATAAAGTCACTTGATATTTGCAATTTATAGGAAAGGTGTCAGAGCTTTACTGATCTTAGAAGATTAGTGTTAAGTAGAATCTGTCTCCCATTTTCAGCTTATCTCAGAGTGTAAAGATTTACCCTACTAGTTTGGTATGCGTGGTCACAGCAGTGGTCAGGCAAGGGGCCAGTTTGCTTTCTCAGTAAGGACCAATGGGTAGGAAAATTCTTTATTTCCCTTCTTTTTTTAAGGGATCTGCTGGGCCAATGTAGATTCCTAGGTCCATCACTAGGTACAGATTAAATATACCTGTGATGGTATCCAAGCATTTTCCTTTTGCAGTAATTACCATGTGTGACACTGATGCAGCTCACCCAGGGAGAGCTTGCCTTTAGAAACAACCATCAAACAAACTTACACCTATACCTTCACTCTTTAAAAACTTTAAAAAAATGGAACAGGATCTCACTACTGTGAGACCTGCTGGGAACTCCTTTTGTAGCTTACTCTGGCCTAGAACTCATGCTCCTGCCTCAGCCTCCTATGCTGCAGTCTTCATTCTTTTTATGCACCCCCCCTCCCCCGCCGCCTTTTTTTTTTTGGTCTCAGCGGTGTGAGAACCTATTCTCTTCCTAAGCTGATTTTTCTATGGGGACTCTTGATTCCATTCCTTTGGTTTCAGTTTTTAAAACACTAAGGTCTTATCATGTATCCATTGCTGTTCTCAAACCCATGGCAATCCTCCTTCCTCAGCTTCCTGAACTCTGGAATTACAGGCATGCACCACTATGACTGACTTTGATTTCATTTTTGTAATTTTTTCTAGTTCTTTGAGTTGGCAAAATTCCCTTCCCTGGAATTGACAGTCCCTTAATGCTATATATAATCTGCTTCCCTTAGGTTTATAAGCGTGATTTATTCACTAATTCTTTACTTAATATCTCCCATGTTTCAGTCACATACTTTTCTGTACATTTTTTTCTTTCTTCCTTGCCTACAGTCATACTTATTTACCACTAAATTTCCAGAAGAATATTTTCTTCCCATAGTAACATGTAATAATTACAAGCAGTAGTAAAAATAGTCATTAACACTTACCATATGGATATACTTTTAAAAAGTGTGTGTTTTGTGTTTATCATATATGCATATATGTATGTAAATGTACATACACATGGAGGCTGGGGAGAAGACCAGGTGTCCCATCTGCCACTTTTAATCTTATTCCCTTGACACGGGAATGTCACTGAACTGGAGCTATGCTGGCAGCCAACAAGCCCCAGCCATCCTCCTGTCTCTGCTTGATGCTGAGGTGAATGCCCATATCCAACTTTTTTTTACTAAGGATTAGAACTCAGGCCCTCATGTTTGTGCAGCAAGGACTCTTATTTGCTGCACCATCTCCTAACCTCTGATTATACTTTTTCAAGTACTTTACATAGCAACTTTGTGTTAGATAGTCTACATATCCACTTTAGGATATATCTGTGTGTGCATATGTAGATCTGTTTATGGGCTACTTATCCAGTTATCTACCTACTATGCAACAATACATTTTGGTGTTATTTTTGCTCTATAAAATGCATTTTATCATCTTGCCAATTTCTAACAATTCTCTCTGAAATACTTGTTTTTCATTCTCCTTTGATTCATCTTTTCCATGTTTTTCATGAACTTTTCTTCTCTGTCTACCTGAAGTGAGTCTATTTAAAACCCTGTAACACATGCTTCTAACTTGCTTTTCTATCCATACTTTTAAATATTTTCCCCTTCATGCTTCAACCCCAAACAAAATATCATTTGATCTCGGAGCTCACTTTCCCTACTGTCTTTGGGCATGTCTTTGGCTGTGAATTCAAAAAAAATATTGAATAGTTGACCCATCATGGCTCTGTGTTTCTATGAGCACCTTGTGATTTAAGACAGTCAACATCTGGGATGTTCTGATTTCAACTTGTAGATAAAGGACCAGCCAGGGAGGCTGCTACTGAGACATCCTCTTGGATGGAATTTGTTGCTCAGAGTGGGGGAGTCTGGAAGCACAGGAGCAGATAGGGAAGTGGGGTAGAAATTCTGGCTGCTAGGAGAGAGAGTTGGATATAGGATCTTTCAAAAAAGGAATATAAAGCTACATATGGTTGTTAATCATTAGTAAATGTTGAGCCTCAAATAGGGCATGTATTAAGGACTAAGTCACAAAATGACACCTGGAATTAAAGCTAATGAGTACAATTAATGTGGTAAGCCAAATAAAATGTGAGGTTAGTTGTCTACAGCAGGGATCCACCCTTGGAAATTATTAAGTGTACTGCCAATGAGTGAAGTTATTTCTCAATGTTCCCTCAAAGAAATTAAGTGTGTTTGCAACGAGGGTAGGAAGAGGTTGGTTGCTAATTAGTGTTTCCAGCAGTGTCCAGAAAGAGGAGGCAGCTCTGGCTTTAGATGTTTGTAGTTTAATTACTGAACCGGCGTAAGGAACAGATGGACTTGGATGTAAAATCTTCGTTAATGAAAACAAGTCACTTAACATTTCAGAGTCTGTTGCCTCTTTAATAAAATGATTATAATACCATAAAGCATTGATTGAGTTGCTATGAGAATAAAATTAAGTGATAAATAGTATGTTGAGTAATTTATACCAAGCACAGTGCATAAAGTGATGATCCTAGCTTGTAAGCGTTACCTATCACTTCTGTGTTGTTCCTTCCCTTTCAGGAAAACTTATTGAAGTTTTCAGGTTACCACAGTGTGGTAATGAAGCATTAGTACTGAAATTGCTTTGCTCTAAAGCTCATCTAATAACCTTTGATATCTTTTAAATAAATTGATCAAATGGGAGAGACCATCCTTTGATAATTGGTTTTTTTTTTCTTTATAGTTAGCAAAGTGGACCATCAAGTTTCTGCTTAGTATGAATCTGCCTTCTAGATTGCATCTGAATATATCAGGGAAATAAACCCAGAGAATTAGAACCTCTTCCCTTATCTTTAAAAGTAAGATCCAGCCCCTGGCTAAGGTGCTGAGATCCTGTCCAGGCTACTTAGCCTCCTCCACCCCTCCTTTTTTTTCTTTTAGCAGCAACAGTTGGGTCCTAAGATGATGGAGCCATAGCAAGAAGAGCAATATCATAATAAACTTGGCTTAGGTATACAGCAAAATATTTATTTGAAATTCTTTGCTTTTTTTTTCTTAGAAAGATCTTTATGCTACTTACCTCTTGAAATTTGAAAGGTAAGGAACAAGTTTGGAGTGCTGTGTGGAAAAAGCTAGGGTCTGGGCCTGCTTTTTCCTTGTAGACCCAGAAACACACTAATGTTAGTACCCTGGACTTGGTGAGAATCAGAAAAATCTCTTTATTATACCTTGCTAGGGAGTGAAGCATGAAAACTAGGATTGTTAACCTACATTAACTTACATATTAACTAGTTATTACTCTACAACCAGAAATGAGTGATTTTTTCCTTTCAGGAAAAAGATGGGCAGAAGGCCCTGAATGAGTTGGAGAACAGCCAGAATGTTCTCTGTGTGACTCATCTGATGACTATCACCCTGAATTGATGTGGTGAGAAATTTATGTAAAAAACTGGGGCATGCTATACCAAATATGTCAGGGAACTAGCTGGTCAGAGCATTTCCCCCTGAGCAGCTCTGGATGGGCAACTCTTGTCTTTGGAGACATGTTTTTATTTTGTAATACTTTGTGGTTTACATACAAGTACAGGAACTCATCGGTCTAGAAGTCTCCCGTCCTGCAGGACATCAACCTGGGGCAAGAGAGTCAGGGATAGGGAACGGGGACAAGAGACACAGAAAGAACGACCACAAGACAGGATTCTGATCAAGTGGCAAACTTTACTTTTCTCAGGCTAGCTTATATAGTCAGGATATGGGGAGGGGCAAAATGGGTTGTTTGTGCACCAGGTGTTGGTATAGGCAGGATATTAGGAAGCCACAAAGAGGATGTTTGGCAGGGTAAAGAGTTTATGAGTAAGAGGTCCAGGAAGGGGTTGCCTAAGTGACTGAGCCTGTGGGTGGAGGACTGGGTTGTTTCTTTTCTTGAGCTGAGGTTCTAAGGAACTGCTATGTAAAGGTTAACTCTGTGGTCTGCCAAGCATGGCCTAGGATCTCATGCCAAGCCCCCCACATAGAAGCAGGTGTTAAGCCTCTTTCTTGGTGGTGAAGCTGTGGCTTGTGCTGGCACCGCAACACATGGTGAGGAATCGGGAACTTGATCTTGGAGTGCTGGAACTGTTTGACAGCTGGCCATCAGCACTTGCCCTCTGAAATCTCTTGAACCTTCATGAAGTGGATGTAGTGAGCATGGGCACGGTGCGGGGCATCCATGTCTGTGTCTGTGGAGGGAGAAGGAAGTCAGCCTCAGCCACCCACCTCAGTGCCTGCCCCCAGGCCTGTGGAACCTCCTGATTCACTCTGGGGTTTACCGCACAGGCCCCCAAAGGTGACAAAGCCCCTTTTGCTGTGTGCACCATTGTTTAAACAGCCGCTAGAAACAGCGGTAGTTCTTGGGTTGGGTGCAGAAGGTCTGGGTCGGGTACTCCCAGCTCTGTGCGATTGCGCCAGCAGTGGTCAGGTTCCAGCGTTCTTGGCACACGTTGTGAGTGCCATGTTGTGAGTTGTAGCGCAGCCAGATGGCTAAGTTCTTCACCTGCAGTGGTGCCTCAGGTCGCAGCTCTGCACAGTGTTATCTCCCCGGGGATGACTTCTTCATCTTCTTCGGCTGGGACCAAAATCGGGACTTGGCCACCATATGGTTGGGTGCGAAGATGTGCATAAGCTATAGGGGTGGCGAGTGGCACTTCGGGGTGGGCAAGCAGCGCCCCACCACCTTGTACTCCCGAAGCGTGCCTGAGGCCTACATGGCGAATCGCCACAAGCCACAAAAGAAGTCACAAAAGCCATTTTGACTCAGAGATGTTTGGGTCAGATTCTCAGTCTCATTTTCTCTACTCCTTCCAAGGTACCCAGTATCATGAATTTGGTATTTATTGTTCCATAAAGATCTTATATTTATCATATATATATTTTATAAAATTTTCACTGAACATTGTGATTTTGAAGTTTGCTCATATGTTGTAAAACATCTATACATGACATGGTTTCGTTTTATGTGGTATTACAATATAATCAATATTACCATATAGTTCATGGTTAATAGTGGGCTCAGGAGTTACTATTTTTATTTTTTATGACAAATATTCCAGATATGTCTCTTTTTTTGGCATGGACAATTGTTATATTTGTAAATTTGTGTCCAAAACCAACTTCAAACTGGCATTATATTAGCTTAGTTCACAATTTTTAAATAAAAAATGAGCTTCTAAGATATATTTTTGGAGTTATTCAAATTGGGAATTTATTTTTCTTTTTAATATTTAAAAATTCTGTATTTTAGAGAAAGAGGTTTTTTTTGGGGGTAGTATTAATTATTAACTTTTGGGGAGACAATTACATGCTATTTTAGATGACATGAGTGTCAACACACATGCTACTCAATTGCAGCTGTTAGAAACATTTGCCTTCCTTACTAAATGTGAGATTCCATAGAGCTATCATCTGAAACTACAGTAGAATCTGTCAGGTGTAGTGAGCCAGGGCGGTTACGTTGGAGAGACCCTCCATCATCAGCATTCCCTCAGAGCATCCTTGTTCCCCATCAGACAACTGTTAGACCCCCGGAAAACTCAGGCCTCCGGGGACTCAGCCTAGGACCACGGACACCCCAATCACCAGGCGGATTTGAAAACTTGCTGCAAACTGCATGTTTATTGTTTATTGTTGTTTAATGAGCTAATCCCATGTTAGCTTGGGTCTTTTACCCACCCGCCATGGCGGATGGCTAGAAAAGACAGCTGGAACCAGCTGCCAAGAGATCTTGTAGGGCAGCGTAAAGGGAGTGTCTAGGGGTACGCACAGACTCACGATTGTGTTGATTGGCCAATTAGTTGTTATGGCCCATAGGCCCTCCCAGGGTGGTTGCTATGCTCTGTGAGTCATTGCTGTGCACTTGTCCGTAAAGCACACCCAGAGCTGTAAAGCATAGCACCACCAGCTAACTTCTGATTGGTTCCTTGCCACGAGGCAGGCATCTGACCTCTTAGTGACCAAGGCAAGGTCACGGTCAGTGGAGACTCAAGGGCACAAATGGCACTTGCCATTTTCCCTGTATAAGATACTTTGAAGTAATCATATTTAGCTACAACGTTTACTAACAAGGAGGGTACAGCTGCTATGCAGGTGCCCTTGCAGAAGGATTTTGGGGTAAGGTTGAGGAGGCTATTTGTATAGGTTGTAGTTCTAGTAGGGTCTTTTGAGGTGATTTCTATTAGGTCGACCATATGTGATACTCTTCCTTTATAACCTTCTGGCTTAAACAGTTTTATCTGTTTATGGAAAGAATGGGTAAACATTTTTACTTTCATATAAAATATATACTTTTTATATTATTGTCACCTGTTATGCAATTAAAGAATTAATTAGATGTTCAACAATATAATATTGAATACAATGTACTGTGATCACTCTGCTACTTACCTGTTTCCCTTCCTGCTGATGCCTCTCCTTACCAACTAGTTTCCTTCTGTCATGGCTCTCCTTTCTCTCCTTTTCTTTCCCTCCTTTTCCTACTTCTTTCCCTTCTCCTCTTTTCTTTCATTATCCCACAGAAGTAGCCACGTTACATCCAGAAGACAGCACCCCATTTCTCCCCACCCTTTGCTCCCACAGTTCTTCCACCCCCTCTTCCATGGTGGTCCCTGGGCCTCAGAGTGGGTGACATAGATACCTAGTGTGGTGCCGCCCACTCATGAGTCACTTCTCCATGCTTTTGCTAATTATGAGTCGCCCACTGCTAAAAGAGGCTTCTTTGAACAAGACTGGAAGCTGCCCTGGTCTATGGGTATAAACATATATATTTAAAAGGACGTTAGCTACATATCCTTTTTTCAAAAATCAGTTGTAGATTGCCTGACAGGGTCTGTGATTTCCCTAACTGTAGGCTTTGCCAAATTCCAGTCTCATTCATGTGTTTCCTCCAGTGGAGCAGGACTCAGGTCCAAGCCAGAGTAGTTGGTTACCTTCAGAACATTCATACCACTATTGCACCAGTGGTAATATCTCACCAGGCAATTCAGTATTGAAACACACAGACTATTCATGACTTCCCCACCCCCTGACACTCTACATAAACTTTCTGGCACTGTGAGTGCTAGCTAGCAGAGAGGAAATATGTAGTTTCCCAGTGTCCTGATTCAAGAGTGTGTGATGCCTTTAGCAATAGGGTTGTATTATCTGGTTTAGGTGGGCATCCCAGAGCAAATACAATAACCACTATTGTTTTGGGAGATTCTGGGTGCTACCCAAACAACAACTCATAGGAGGATAGCCAATTCCTGGCAGTGAGATTTTGGTTTGAAGTCTTACGACTTCTGGAAACAGTGTTAACCACTCATGCAATGCTAGAGTGCTTCTCTTCTTCTTCTTCTTCTTCTTCTTCTTCTTCTTCTTCTTCTCTTCCCCCCTCATCCTAATACTATTTTTTTTTTAGTTAGTTTATAACATAAAAGATTCTGTATGGTGCTTTATTATACCTTTAATTTTGGTTGATTCTCCCCTAACTACCTACCTTCTCCTATCTTTACTCCCACATCCCTTTAAGCCTCCCTCCTCTTACAGTCCTCCTTTCTGTTGCATATACTTTACTGTGCACTGCCTCTCTAGACATCTTCCTCCCCATTCCTACCTCATTGTCCTTTCTTGCTACCTGGCCTCTACTGACACTCCAACAAAGTTACCTAAAAATTTGAGTCTATGGTCCACATATAGCAGAGACCATAGCAGAGCTATCTGTCTAACTGGGCCTGGTTTACTTCACTTAGACGATATTGTGGTTCCATTTATTTTCTTGCATGTTTCATTTTTCTTTAGTTGTGTATATGTACCACATTTTCATTATTTATTCATCAGCTGATGAGCATCCAGGCAGCTCTCACCTCCCATCTGTGCGAATAAGAAAGCAATGAATGTGGATATGGAATCCTCTGGGTGTGTGCTCAGGGATGTTACAGATGGACTATATGACACTTCTATTTTTAGTTTCTTGAGAAACTTCCATTGATATCCATAGTGACTGTACCAGTTTATACTCCCACTATTACTATTTATGGGTTCCCTTTTCTCACATGCTTGCCAGCGTTCACAGTCATTTGTTTTCTTGAAAAAGACTATACTTATTAGAGTAAGATAGAATCTCAAATTAGCTTTGATGTGCATTTTCTTGAAGGCTAAAGACATTGAACGCTTAAAAAATGTTTATCAGCCATTGTTATTTCTTCTTTTGAGGATTTTCTGTTAATTTCATATAACTTTTAAAATTTGGGTATTATTTTCTAGATGTTAATTTTTTAAAATTCCTTGTATATTTTAGGTACAAATCCTCTGTTAGATATACAGATAGCCAAGAGTCTTCTGCTGTTCTTTAGTCTGTGTCTTCATTCAGTTGACCATTTCCTTTGTTATACAAAAGTGTTTTAATTTCATAAGGTCCCATTTGTCAAATGGCCTTATTTCCTGAATGTGGTAGTTTGAATGAGATGTCCTCTATAGTCATGGGCATTTGAACACTTGGTCCCTGTCCCAACCTGCAGGACATCAACCTGGGGCAAGAGAGTCAGGGATAGGGAATGGGGACAAGAGATGCAGGAAGAATGACCACCAGACAGGATTCTGATCAAGTGGCAAACTTTACTTTTCTCAGGCTAGCTTATATAGTCAGCAGAGCAGGATATGGGGAGGGATAGAATGGGTTGTTTATGCACCAGGTGTTAGTGTAGGCAGGATATTAGGAAGCCACAAAGAAAGGATGTTTGGCAGGGTGAAGAGTTTATGAGTAAGAGGTCCAGGAAGGGTTGCCTAGGTGACTGAGCCTGTGGGTGGAGGACTGGGTCAAGTTGTTTCTTTTCTTGAGTTGAGGTTCCAAGGAGCTGCTATGTAAAGGTTAATGCACAACTATGTGGTCGGCCAAGAATGGCCTAGGATCTCATGCCAAGCCCAGAGATCTTTGGCTCCCAACAGGTTCCCAGTTGGTGGTGTTGTTTGGAGAGGCTCACGAAGTATGTGTGGCCCTGTTGTAGGAAGTTTGTCACTGGGAGTGGGCTTTGAGAGCTGTTGAAAGATCTATACTCATTTTAAGTTTGCTCTATGCTTCCTGTGCATGGTTCAAGAGCAAACCCTCAGCTGTATCTGCTGCCTTGTGGTTGCATGGTTCCCTGCTTGTATAGACTCTCATCCCTCTGGAATAGCAAGGCAAATATACTCTTCCTTCTGTAAGTTGCCTTGATTGTGATATTTATAACAGCAACAGAAAAGTAACTAATATACTGAGACACTGGGGCCCTATTCGGAAAATCTTTACTTATGCTTAAATCTTGTAATGTACTCTTTATCACCCCCCCCCCCCAGTAAGTTTCAGGTCTTAGTTAAGGTGCTTTAACCTTTAGACTTGATTTTTATACAGGGTGAAA